TCAAACTCACGGGTAACAGCATCCACCAGCGGCCGCTCCGAAGGCGCAAAGTAACGCTGGTGCAGGGCAACGAGGCCATCACGGCCCCTACGGCTAAATTCCACCAAACAATTGATACGGGCCGAAATAAGGTTATGCATCCAAGCCACATCATACAGCAAGGTATCAGAGGCGCAGGTCAGGGCGACAACCCACTCTTGAGGTAAATTTGAATATCCGAAAAAGCGGCGAATCATAGTCAAACCGGACCGCACCATCTCCAAGACGCCAAGCAAAGTAATCAGAATGCTAAACTCATAAACTAACGAGCCCGCACGATCAGGATGACCCCTCTGCGAGTGCTCTAACTCCTGCCACTCAGGAATTGCCCGAAAATTATGCAAAACCAGATTATCCACCGTCATGGTTCCCGGCAAATTGTGCAGAACATAGTCGGGAAACGGAAACCGCGACCCGGCTGGAGAGCGCTGCACTTGAGGCGACGCAAAATCCTCCGTCAGCGCGCGCAAATCGTATTCCGGACCCGAGGTCGCACCTTGACTATTTAGGCGCGCGCGGACCCCGGCCAGGTCTTGTTGCATCTGGAGTAACATTGCAGCGATGTCCGGCCCAGCAACCGCCGCACCAGGCATAGTTGCCGCTCTCGGTACCGCGCTGGGCGCCATTCCGCCTCCTAGCGGCGTAGCGCCACCACCCAGCAGACCTTGCATATATGGGGAAGGGGGCTGGGAACCATATTGGCCCGGCATCATGGCGCCAGCAACGCCGCAGAAAACGACAAAAACCGCTAAAACGACTTGGACGGATACTGCTACGGTTGCCATGATCTTCAAGACGATGACGACGGAGCGATAATGGTGCTCCTTCAATCAGGGCACTCTACCCGATGGGTCTTGCTGAAGAGCTGAAAGCACAGCGGAAAAAAAACAGAAAGCGCGCCGAAGGCGCGGGACCTGCCTCGTTGTTCAGCGCGTGCTGAACAACAAAAACAAGATACAGAAAACCTGCAACACGCGCTATTTATGCAAAAGACGATCCTGAGGACACGGATCGCCGGCCTCAAGTCGTACCACTTAAAACGGCCGTAAGGCCCTACGCCTTAGCTAACCCGGCTCAAGCTTCGCATAGCCCGCAATAAAATCACGAACATTTCCTGTCACTACGGTAATCTCACTTTCCAATATGCCACTGCACTTTCCTCTCCAGCCTGGCCACATTCTCTTCCTCGCAAACGTACTTGGGCACCTTACAATCCAACACCATACGTGCTTTGGAAACGCGGGCAGCTGCTTCACAAGGACCCCCATATTTTCGTTTATTGTACCTGTTTCATCCGGCTGGTTAGCTTGAGCCTGTGCTCCCGCACCAACTACCAAAGGGCCCGCCGCAACTGGAGCTATTTGCTGAGCATGATCGTCTGCGTCATATTGGATGTCGCAAGTTTTAACCATACACATGTGGCAATGTTTTGCAACAATTTCTCACTGCGTCCAGCGACCATCTCGTTTGGAGCCACGGCCTCTTTGCCATTATTAACAAGCTGGACGGGCTTTCCAGCTGGAAATGGTGAGCTCACCATTTTCGCACTTTGGAAACACCCTAGCAAATTCTGGACCGATCGTACAGTTCAGTACCAGTGGCAACGACCTAATAACCAACTATATTTTATGTATTTAAGAGCTGATTTCCGCCTTGAAATCCTAGTTTTTGCGAAATTTGATCGACCGGCTTCGGAGGGTACGATATTTCGGGGCTGCGATCCCTTGGGATACCTTAGAATTTGTACGTGCTACATATTCGTGGTGCCTCCCGAATTATTGTAGCACGAACTATAAGTAGCACTACGGTATATATAGCATTAAGCCTATATAGGGACCATATATATATGGTCCCTATGTCCGAAACGGCAAGAGATTGGGTCAAGGGCTTCCCAGCAATGGACTGAGTATTCAAGCTACTGGGACATCATCCAATCATGACTTATGATTCCTCAAGGCTTTATGTGGATCAGAGGGCCCTCACCCGGGTGAGCATCGCCGCGCCACCTATATTTTCCATCACTGTAACAACCCCACACACACACTGATTGTTTTAGCTTATCGCCACAGCATTTTATTCCTTTTATTCAATTAAGGAATACTGAACTGTTCTCAGTTGGCGGGCTTATATTCTCTTGCCAAGTGTGGCCTTTGTTGTAGGGGCGGGCGGGCGGGCGGGCGGTATACCTGCGATAAGCCCAAGATATCTGTACGATTTATCAACAGGTGCCTTGAAAAGGCCTATATAAGGCGTATCGTATATTATATATAATGCCATTTACGACTACAACTTCTTCACCTTCAGCGAATCACCCACTGGCACGCTCCCTGGTGCTCAGGTATATACCTATCCATATATGGAGAGCAACATTGAAATGTGGCTATGAGTACATTAATCAAGCAGCAGGCCGCAGCGCTGGGCATTGTGGCCAGCAATGTGATGGCCTCTCACCTGGCCTCCTGCTTGCAACTGCAGATGACTTCTTACCTCTCCATCCAGAATGACACAGATATCACGTTTGCCATCAAATTGGGAAAAGACATGGAAGCCGAGAAGTGGGCCAGAATCTTCACGACGGTGACGGATAAAGCAAGCAGTGTCGAAGGGCTCCAAGAACCTATAGGCGTTTCGATGGATGCGCTGGCTAGTCTTGCAGAGATGGCTGCTGTCGCACCAGGCACTGACAGTGCATTTCGTACCAAAGCATCGTCCTATATTGCCATGCAAATTACCAAGCATGTCAAAAAGGTTGCTAACATGCAGCTGCTCGAACCAGGTGAGCAGGGGCAATATGCAATATGCTGCAGCTCTTTTGCAAGTCCTTGACTACTGCTCTCTTGACCCTCAGGCAATAATTGGCGTTCTGACCCCATGAAATGTGGAGAGTGGCTGATATGCCACTGCTTTGCGGCCCGGGTCAATCCCAAAGATTCCAGCCAGGTCCTGATAGGCTCCGTGTACATGAGGCCAATCAACAGTGGTGAAACATACACGTCCATAAATAAGTACAACATCTCCGATTGGGTCGCCAAGGATGGCTGGGTGGATGTGAGATCCATTGTTCTCCCGCCAGAAGTCATCCAAATACAGACTCTACACCGTGGCGGCACGGTGAGTGAGTGTTCTCTGCTAGTGCGTCCCTATGCTACTGCAGCAGGGCTGCAGCTGTAACAGCTACCACACACGACAGCAAGCCTCACCTCCTACTTGGCTGTGAGCAGCACTCTGGGAACCTGGAGCCTTCATTCTATATTCGATTTACATTCGATTCACATTCATTTCATCCCTTCATTTTGACCCTTCATTCCACACCCAAATCGAGGACACCATATCATTTTGGAATGAAGACCTCTTCATTACAGCCCCTATGGCAGCCAAACTGGGAGCTACGCCCCCCCCCCAGCAACTGGACTAGTAGCTCCTGAGACGGGTTGCAGCCCAGTTGGTACCCTGTTGGTACCCTGTAGCGGCCCAGTAGCGGGGCAGTA